AAAAAAAAAAAAAAAAAAAAAATGAGATGCTTATGCCTCCAGAGTGTAAAATATGTTTTCTCTTCAGGCATATAGCAACAAGTACATTTGACCGCATAAGAATTGTCGTGCCCAATTCATAACATGAGAGAATGAAGTCCAACGATTTCCTCGTTGCACTCCATCCTAATCCGAAACTCAAAGTAAATGCTACACCATACATTAGAAACTTTAAGATTGCTCAACGTGAGAAAATAGTCATTTATTTTGTGCATTAAAAATAGAAGCCCTAAAGGCGATAGAGTTGTGTTCTAAGATAATGTCGGCAGCATTTAGAAAATTCAAAAATGGAAAGGCGCAAAAAGGGAAATATTATAAAAATGATACAGTTCGTACCTTCTTTTTTCACTAACGACAATTTCAAATAAGCACATCATGCTGTCAATTTTTCTATTAAAATTTCAGCAACGTTCAGCAGATTGGCAAAGCTGTTGGCTCAGCTAAGGTTGAATTGAGATTTTTGTCTATTTCAAGAGAGATATGTTCAACTTTAAAACTGAATTTTGAACTTCGGCTCGATAGGAAAGTAAAAACAATGACCACCAAAAAAGTCTCAGCTATCATACGAGACTCTCAATCTAAATAACAGTAAATTTACAAGACCGCGTTATTCAATACACGCTGCGTATTAAGGAAATCACGGTCGCGAGCGTGTTATAGATAGTCACAGTACATGACGAACGCAACACGACCGCGTTCCGGCTGCGCGACAACTGACGTGCTAAGAGCTTTTTATGGTAGTCATTTATGTGCATTGGAAAGTTAGTGTTTCAGATTGAAACACGGCCTATAGGAAACATGCCATTATGAGAGAACTATGCTGCTTCATTCGACGAACAAACCGTGATTTGACGGCATTTTTGGTTCAATTCGAACTGAAAACTGGTACCGAATGTTCTTTACATTGTTGTAACGTTACTCAGCGTATTTGAAAGCAGTTACCATTAGCATTCATAGCTGCAAACAGCTCAATATGTCCTTCCGAGGAACAAGTTATGCTTGAATCATCACGTGCTGCTGAAATAACGCGCTGAGAACTGACAATAAGTCGCCTTTTCGAGCGCGTACGCGGGCGATACCTTCTTTCCTTTTGCCAAAACTTTAGTCATGGGTGGCAGCGGCAGCTACGACTTTGCTCAGGCTTTAAAAGCAAAAGAAGAGATGATCCGAAGCACCATTTCAACCTCTCATAATCTCCCTCCACCATCTCCATCCCCACGACCGACAGGTCCTCCTGGCGACAGACGAGAAAGCCTAACACTTTTTCAAAAGCTCAATCAAGGTAATGTCAGCGTGATGGTGTCTATTTTACAACTGAATAATTTCTTCTAAAACCTGAACTTTATTTAGGCGATACGGGCGTTTCCACTGACTCTACAGCTGATGAACGGAACGATGATATCAATGACCCTATAGTGAAATATGACGAAGAGCTACTTAAGCGCGTACAAAAGCAGGCTCAAAGCAGGGCTTCTTCTTCAATTCAAGTCTCAAACACTAATACGTATGTAATTTGAGCAATCGAGCAAGAATCTTTATTCAATTTCATTAACATATTTGCAACTCCATTAGGACTCCCCTAGCAAGCCAAAAATCTCCACAGTCGCAGAGCAATCTTAAAAAGAGAGCTCTCACTGCACCACGGTCACCTAAAACCATTAGAAAGGAGAGCCCTGTTCAACACCGTTATTACACTCGAAGCTCTGCCAAGAACTTTCCAAGTTCAAGTCTCGGCTCACGACCCAAGTTGCCAGGGCGTCGATCAGCGTCCACGAGTTCTCCTCCAAAGACTCCCACCCGACGCACTGTGACAATCGCACCTTTGCCAAGTCGTTTTAAAGAATATCTACCAGAAGATTCAGAAGAAGATTCACAAGAAGATTCACAAGAAGATGACGCTACACATTCACCACCGGAATTGAACTCTGCAAACGTACCTGCAAGCGGCAAAGAGGATCGCAAAGGCAAATCTGTTCTAAGAAATAGCCAGCCTGCCAAGGATGAGCCAAAGCCTGATAGCAAAGGAAAATCCAAGGATGATTCCAAACCCGATAGCGAATCTGCTTTCGACGCACATGCAGAACGCATAAGACGTCTTTACGATGTCCCGCTCACTCCAGGTAAATGAGTCAGCATGCAAACCTCAATTTAACAATGCAACTAACAATGGTATTTTGTTTTAGTTGAAAAGTGGCTAGTTAAACATGAGCACCTTTTCAATACCCCGGAAGACGTACTGATCAGTGAACAAACGTGGTTTGAGTATTTCTTTTGCCGTACTATATACGGTAGAAAGAGACTAGCCACCAGGGAACTGTGGGCATTGACTACGCCTTCAGAAGATCCTGCCACCGATGCATTTGATTGGGCAAGAACTCAGTTGCTAGCTCGTGCTAAATACCAGGCAGGGGACGAAGCTTCATCATCGACTCCCGCCGCCGAGGAACCCACCGAAGAACCCGCCGAAGAACCCACCGAGAAACCTGCCGATAAACAAGGCTCAAGTTTAAACCCTTTCACTATGGGCAAGAACTTCTTTTCAAAGGTACAAGACGCTCTGGCTGGCAGTAAGAATGAAGAAGTTCCTGACAAAGAGAAGCTTCCGCCTCCAGCTGCCGAGGAGCAAGAAGACCAGGTCCCTGACGAAGAGAAGGTTCCGCCTCCGGCTGCCGAGGAGAAAGAAGACCAGGCCACTGACAAAGAGAAGACTCCAGCTCCGGCTACCGAGGAGAAAGAAGAGCAAGGACTTGACAAAGAGAATTCTCCAGCAGGACTGGGTGACCTCAAGCCTTTCATAGCGCGTCTTCCCACTTTTGGAGAAAGCAATGAGCCCATCAAACGGCGACATACGGATAGCTACAAAAGGGCCACGACACCTGAACCACTAAAGGAAAATAAGCCTACAAGTAAGAGCGCAGAAGCAAACAAGACTACCAACGACTGGTTCGCTGTTACGCCTAGTAATGAGAATGTACTCCAGCCTTTTCAAGCGCGTTCTCCATTCACTGAACGTCGCCTAAACCGAAACTTACTTGAAGATTTTAAAGCCTCCATACCCACATCAACCGCTGCTTCTGATGATAAGCCTGCCAGTTCCAACACCTCGCGAAAGCGAAAGCTGGAAGGTCAAAAGGAAGAGGGCCGAGCCACGTACAGTAGATTCAAAAAATGATTAGTATAGTAAATTAGTGAATAAAAGTATCTTCTTCCTTACTCCATATATGCCGCGCGTAAGATTTTCGTGAAGCTACTGGAGGTAGCCCATACTTTCAAGGTTTTCAAGGTTAGAATAAGCAAGACATCCTGGAATGCAACATACAAGATTCGAGTTTTCAGTCCTTCGTGAGGGGTTTCTTCTTGAAGATGCTCAAGTGATCTTAGTGGCGTTGTCGCATCTCCGCAATGCTGTGGCACTTTGGTAAGACTGGGTGGAAGATCGGATCACAACTTGGACCGACTTCAAACATGGCCGAATTCCTGTTCACTGATGTAAAAGAGTAAGTTATCTCTGGCATGTATGAGCTACGGAATTGAAAGTTCAGTACTACCACGATTTGTAGTCTTCAACCCCGCCGACGCTCCAGTTTCTTGCAAGATTTGGGCCATGTATTGAGCCGCCTGCCGAGCCATCAGAGACGGCACCCAGCGCTGGATCAAGCTGTTCGGAAGTACCTCTGACGGATCAGTCTGAACCAGAGGGAAGCGGTTGTAACACTTCAGAAATGCGAAAGCTAGAAGAGCAAGAGGAAGAGAACCAACCATGATCAGTCGTTTCAAGAACTGCTTCCACCGCTTCAAACCAATAACTTCTGTAAATATTTTCCCATTTTCCAGCTTGTAAATGCGTACATAAAACATAGATTCTACACCTGAATTGTATATATTATATGAACACTTGTTGAAAAGGTAAATTGCTCAACATTACATTTGAGGGGAACGACAAAGTAGAACGAAATAAAAAGGAACGTGAGGTAAAATATTACAAGAGAAAGGAATGAGAACATTGCAGTTGAATTCAGAAGAAGGATATGCGGGGGATGTGCACGCAGCGCCAAATCAGTCTAACTATCATTGACGTATTCTTCGGGTGATTGGCAAGTGCACATCAAGTTACCGTCACTCTGAGTGTAACAGAACAATAGTTTCAACTTCTACGACAATTATTGCATGTTCCAATATATGTCACAAACAGGAAGAAAAAAATAAATAGAATGAAATTGGGATGCTTATGCCTCCAGAGTGCCAAAGTTTGATTTCTCTTCACTGACCACAAAATACTTGTCCTGCCCAATTCATAAACATGAAAGAATTAAGTCCAATGATCTCCTCGTTACAGCCCATCATAATCCGAGATTCAAAATAAATGCTAGAGCATACACTAGATAATTTAAGATTGTTCAACGTGAGAAAGTAGTTGTTTATTTTGAGCTTTAAAAATACTTAAGGCGATAGAGTTTGTTCGAAGATGGTGTCAGCAGCATTTGGAAAATTCAAAAATGGAAAGGCATCAGAAAGGAAATATTAAAATTTCGTACCTCATATTTTCATTAAACACAATTTCACATTAACAAATCACGCTGTCAATTTTTTTTATTGAAACTATCAGAATCATTGAGCGGGTTGGCGAAGCTGTAGGCTCAGCTACAATTGAATTGAGATTTTTGTCAAGAGAGATATGTGCAAATTTGAAACTCAATTTTGAACTTCGGCTCGATAGGAAAGTAAACCACAATCACCAAAAAAGTCTCAGCCAAACAGGGACTCTCAATCTCAATGAAAGTAAATTTACAAGACTGTACGCTGTGTACAAGGAAATCACGGTGCGAGCGTGTTGTAGATAGTCACATTACATGAGGTAAGAAACACGGTCGTGTTTCTTACAGGACAGGCAGCGCGACAAGTCAAGAGCGTGATATTGAAACCATTTATGTGCATTGGGAAAGTTAGCGTGTCAAGGTGAAACTAAGCCTATGAGATACGTGTCATTATGAGAGAGCCATGCTGCTTCATTTGACGAACAAACCGTGATTTGAACGCATTTCTGGTTCAATTCGAATCGGAAAGTGGTATCGAATGTTCTTTACATTGCTGTAACGTCGCTCAGCGTATTTGAAAGCAGTTACCATTAGCATTCATAGCTGCAAACAGCTCAATATGTCCTTCCGAGGAACAAATTATGTATGAATCATCACGTGCTGCTGAAATAACGCGCTGAAAACTGACAATAAGTCGACTTTCTAGCGCGTACGCGGACGATACCTTCTTTTCCTTTACAAAACATTTTGGTCATGGGCGACAGTGGCAACGACAAAGATGCTCAAGCTTTAAAAGCAAAAGAAAAAGTTATCCAAAGCACCATTTCAACCTCTCATAATCTCCCTCCACCATCTCCATCCCCGCGATCGACAGGTCCTCCCGACGACAACCGAGAAAGTATAGCACTTTTCCAAAAGCTTGATCAAGGTAATTTCAGCGTAATGGTGTCTATTTTTACAATAAAACACTTAATTCTAAAGCCTGAGCTTTATTTAGGCGACACAAACGTTTCCTTTGACTCTATAGTTGATGAACGGAACAATAATATCAATGACCCTTCAGTGGAAGATGACGAAGAGCTACTTAAGCGCGTACAAAAGCAACCTCAAGACATAGTTTCTTCTTCGGACCAAGCCTCAAACACTAATACGTATGTAATTTGAGCAATCGAGCAAGAACCTATATTGAATTTCATTAACATATTTGCAACTCCATTAGGACCCCCCTAGCAAGCCAAAAATCTTCACAGTCGCAGAGCAATCTTGAAAAGAGAGCTCTCACTGCACCACGGTCGCCTGAAACCATTAGAAAGGAGAGCTTTATCCAACACCGTTATAATACTCGAAGCTCCTCCAAGAATTTTCCAAGTTCAAGTCTCGGACCACCACCCAAGTTGGCAAGGCGGCCTCGATCAGCGTCCACGAGTTCTCCTCTAAAGACTCCCACCCGACGCACTGTGAAAATCGCAGCTACACCAAGTCATTTGCACCAATATCTACCAGAAGATTCACAAGAAGATGACGCTACACATTCACCACCGAAATTGGACTCTGCAAACGTACCTGCAAGCGGTAAAGAGGATCGCAAAGGCAAATCTGTTCCAAGAAGTAGCCAGCCTGCCAAGGATGAACCGAAGTCCGATAGCAAAGGAAAATCTGTTCCAAGCAGCAGTTCGCATTCCAAGGATGAAGCAAAGCCTGATAGCAAAGTCAAATCCAAGGATAATTCCAAACCGGATAGCAAAGGCAAATCCAAGGATGAAGCAAAGCCCGAAAGCGAACTTGCATACGACGCAAGAGAAGAACGCAGAAGACGTCGTTCGGAAGTCCCGGTCGCTCCAGGTAAAAGAGTTAGCATACAAACCTCAATGTAACAATGTAACTAACAAAGGTATTCTTTTTAGTTGAACGTTTGATGGTCTCCAATGACAACCGTCTTTCTACAACGGAAAAAGAGCATGCCCCTGACAAAGAGAATTCTCCAGCTGGACTGAGTGACTTCAAGCCTTTCATAGCGCGTCTTCCCACTTTCGGAAACAGCAATGAGCCTATCAAACGGCGACATACGGATAGCTACAAAGTGGCCACGACACCTGAACCACTAAAGGAAAATAAGCCCAAGTGCAAGAGCGCGGAAGCAAACAAGACTGCCAACGACTGGTTCGCTGTCAAGCCAAGTAATGAGAATATACTCCAGCCTTTTCAAGTGCGTTCTCCATTCACTGAACGTCGCCTAAACCGAAACTTACTTGAAGATTTTAAAGCCTTCACACCCACACCAACCCCTGCTTCTGATGAAATGTCTGCCAAAAAGGACGCTGAATGCAGTTCTGAG